AGACTGGGGAGCCCCAAGGGAGGGGCTGTGCTTTGTACTTGCTCAGCATGGGCCTCTCATCCCCCAGAGCAGAGACAGGATCCAGAGAGAGACTGTCCCTTCATCTTCAGACCAACACCTGCCCCTTGGGAGTGGTGTGTCTCAGGTTGTTGGAGGGCAGAAGGACAGGAGCCAGGGCTGCCTGGGAAGCTGTGCCTCGCATCCTTTACAAATGTAAAAGCTGTGCCTTTACAAATGCATTCCCATGTCCCTTGACCCTACTGTCCCCACTACCCATTCAGGCTCCCAGGCTTCATCCAGACCCATTCCCTGTCAGGAGGACCCAGCCCCAGCCACAGGGCCTTCTTGTGGCCAATCCTACACAACCACATGGACTAACTTAACTCTGAGGCTAAAGGGCTCCTAGGGGCAGGAGGCGGAAGGGCACCCCAAGAGAGTGGGAGTACCAGAAACAGCATTAGGACTGCCATAGGGATCTCTGTGTCCCTTCTCTGGAAGCTTCAGCCCTGTTCCCCCTCACCCCTTAAGTCATTATCATCACCCTTATCAACAATAACAATCTTCATGCGTGTGGTGTCAAATTACCCCCAGACTCTTTGTCTCCCTCCACTCCCAAAGCCACGAGAGGAGCACGCAAGCAAATATTTTTAATCCTCGTTTCTCCAGATAAGAAAACTAAAGCCCAGAGAGAGGAAGTGACTTGTCCAAGGCCACATAGAAAAGAGAGCCCAGGGCTGGGTGCTAGTGGCTCACACCTGTAATCCTAGCTACTCAGGAGGCAGAGATAAAGGAGGGTTGGGGTTCGAAGCCAACCTGGGTAAATAGTTCATGACTATGAACTATCTCTAAAAAGCCCATCACCAAAAAGTGCTTGTGGAGTGGCTCAAGGTGTAGGCCCCAAGTTCAAACCCCAGTACTGCAAAAAAAAAAAAAAAAGAGAGAGAGAGCCCAGGACCTAGTTCTCAGGTTCCCCCCAGAGCAGGACTAGACCAGAGCTGTCAAACTGTCTTCCAGTCAGATCCTTCCTTAACTCCTCTCCATGAAGAAAGCAGGGGCTTATACACTGTGTGCCCTCCTTTAAGTGTCTGAGCCTCTCTGAGCCTTGTTTTCCTTATTTGTAAATAAGCCAGTAGTCCCAGCTTCACAGACCTGTCATGAGGCTATAGAGAAGGTTCTCTGGGTTGGCCAGGGATTACTGGAAAATTTTTCAAGTGGCTGAAGTCACAAACAGACTTTAGTACTGTTCTCTTAGGTCTCTCGGATCTCTGTGGGAAGCAGGGCAGACTTGCTGTCTTCCTTAGCATCCTGAGTGTTGTTATGGCAACACCTCCATCCAAGAGGATGCTTCCAGATCATTTCCAACAACAGAAACCTGAGGGCTCTGCTTCTCCTTCTTCAGTCTGGCCTTCTGTCTGACGTCTCTCTAGATCCACAGAGGTCCCCAGATCCCAACTGAGTAAGAGGTGGGAGGGACAGAGAGCCAGGAAGGAACCTAATTTAGTGCCAAATGAGTGTCAGTGGGAGATAAGTATCCTGTCCTGTAAATAAAAGAGCCCATAAAGACAAATAGCATGAAAACCAGCACTGGTGCTAAGACCTGCCTAGAGACTGTTGCCCACTGGGAGCTCTGAGCGCCAGGCCTGTCCTCTCTGTCAAGAAGGGAGAAAGGCCATGTTGAAGAACATCCAGAAGCCGGGCACCAGTGGCTCACGCCTGTAATCCTAGCTACTCAGGAGGCAGAAATCAGGAGGATCATGGTTCAAAGCCAGCCCAGACAAAATAGTTCACAAGAACCTATCTCGAAAAAAAACCCATCACAAAAAAGGGCAGGAGGAGTGAGTGGCTCAGGGTGTAGGCCCTGAGTTCAAACCCCAGTACCACAAAAGAAAAGAAAAGAACATCCAGAACTGTGCTGTCCATTGTGGTAACTACCCACTATGTATGGTCCTGCAAATTTGAGTTAAAATTAAGTAAACTGAAAATCTCAGTTTCTAAGTTCTTGATACCACACACGGTCAACAGGACCCTATTGGGCCACGTGAATGGAGGTCATCTCCATCATCCACGAGGCTCTGTCTGGCAGTTCTAGAGCTAAACTGAGACTCCATTAACGGAAGTGTTCCTCCAGGGAGGCTGAGCCTCTCCATCAGACTAGGGGCTCCTCCCCCTAACCTCAGAGCTCTGAGTATAGTCTCTACCCATGGATTTTTACTCCCTATAACCCTGGCCCCAACCCACTCAGTTCCTGTCTGAGCTCAAGGGTACAGTCCCTGCCTTCTTGCCCACACCCACTTCCTCCTCCTCAGGCCTCTGAGGGCTTGCTGTCCTCAGCCCCATCAGAAATCAGAAGACAGGTTCTGCAGCGAGATTTTTTAGGAACGGGATCTTGGAATTTGTTGCATTTGGCTCTGAGCCCCAGATGTACTGGGGAGGGGGTCCCAGATACCAGCTGTGCCTACCCTGCTCTGCTGTCATTGATGGGAAGGGGACTGGGAAAGGGAAGGGGAAAACTTGTATCTGACCCTTGTGGACGATGGGCGAGGAACAAGGGAGGTCTCCCTTGTCATCAGTACGCTGGATGGGGGTGCTCGGCACTACAGTTGGGGACCACAGTCTGGCAGTGGTCACTAAAATGCAGGAATGACTTCCCAGAGGACCAGATAAAAGGACAGAGGGAAGGGAAGTGGGGCAGGGATGACCTTCTAGGTGAATGACCCCCACACTTACCTGGCTCCCGATGGTAGATGCGGCTCACTGATGAAACGACCACTGTGCTCTTAGACAGCCCTGGCATTTGAGCGTGCTCTTTCCTCTGCTAGGTACACCTTTCTCCCATCTCCATGGGTCAGTTTTGTTTTCACTGTTTTCAGAGTAAGGATGGAGGTTGTTCCTTGTGGGAGGGGCCTAGACCTCCATGGTCCCAACACCTAAGGCCAAGAGGAAGACTTTGTTGGTGGATGGGTTAAGGGAAGGGGAGCAGCGTCTGAATGCTGGTATGGATGTCTGCTTAAAGACTTGGGCCACTTCAACCTACCTTTCGGTGATTCAGTTTTTCCCGTCTGTAGGGTGAGCATGTACACAGTCTCTGAGGCTCTCCCAGCTTGTCTCAGATGAGGGACTGAGTACTCTGAGTACAGGGGTCAGGTCCCACCTTGTCTACCACTTACTTGACCTCTTCAGGCACAAGTGCTCAGTAAATGGTCTGGACAATGAATGAATGACCAAAAAAACCCTAGAAGTGCTTCCAGGAATTCCAAAGATGGAGAAGAAAAGGGAGAGACAAATGAAGGCAAAGAGAAGAGAGGAAGCAGGAGGAGAGGAAGGGAGCCAGTCCCTGGCTGGCAGTCTTCACTTTCCCTCCCTCTCCTTTCTGCTCCCTGTCTGCTTAGTGCCTGTGCTGCAGGACTTCAGAGCCCTGTTAGAATTCCCCTACTGGATTGTGCCCTGTTGGGGAAGAGATGGGCAAGAGCTACAGCTGAAATGCTTGATCAGCCCTCTCTGAAGCCTCTCAGCCTGCAGCTGAGGCAGGAGCAGATTTCTGGCCTGACTGCCCCTTCCAGAGGTAGGAAGCAGCTCCTCCGGTGTCTTGGGCTTTCTGCACAGGAAGCAAGAGGCCTTCACCCAACCCCAGGCTCTAGGATAGAAATCAGGGGTGGGGAGATGAAGTGGGGGAATGGCCTCAACCAAGGTCACCCAGGTGAGGCTACCTCCTCCAGCCTAGGAGGTCACTTAGAGATCTGAGAACATTCCAGGAAGGGCCTGTCTGTGCAAGTCATATGATCAAAACCCTTCAGGTTGCAAATGAGGAAATGAAGCCCAAGGAGGGACGGAGGCTTTCCTAGGGTCCTGAGCATTTGTGATCAGAGTTATCCCTGGCTCAGTGGTAGAGTGCTTGTCTAGCATGTGTGTGTTTGGGGGGGTCTTGGGTTCCATCCCCAGTACCAAGAGCAGAGTCAGTCCTGGAGTCCAGCTTCCTGGATACCAGCTCTGGTACGCACACATGGCCCTCCCTCCCTTCCTCCCTCCCTTCCTCCCTCCCTCCCTCCCTCCCTTCCTCCCTCCCTTCCTCCCTCCCTCCCTCCCTCCCTTCCTCCCTCCCTTCCTCCCTCCCTCCCTTCCTCCCTCCCTCCCTCCCTTTTCCTCCCTCCCTCCCTCCCTCCCTTCCTCCCTTTTCCTCCCTCCCTTCCTCCCTCCCTTCCTCCCTTCCTTCCTTCCTTCCTCCCTTCCTCCCTTCCTCCCTTTTCCTCCCTCCCTCCCTTCCTTCCTTCCTTCCTCCCTTTTCCTCCCTCCCTCCCTCCCTTCCTTCTCTCCTTCCTTCTTCTTCCTCACTCCCTCCCTCCTTCCTTCCTTCCTTCTTCTCTTTCTGTTTGCAATAGTTCCACAAAATGCATTGCATTCTTCATTTAATGATCACCATTTAAAAATACTTAAATACAAGCAAATACACAGAGGAAAGCCTGGTGTTGGCGTTTGTAAATGCCCTAAGCTGTCGGCTCCATGTTCATTGTGTGCTTTCCCCAAACATGGAATTGCCATTTACACACTGACTTGTACCTTGGCTTTTTCTTAAAGTCAGGTTTCTTGAGGACTAATTAATACACATGATCCCCTTTTTGGAGAATGTGAATTTTGACAAATATGTTTTGCTTTGAAACCATCCCCAGTCTTACATCATTGGTATCCTTCCATGTCAGCAGAAGTAATCTAACTGCCCAACTACAAGGGGATTGCTTTTCTTTAAAAAAAAAAAAAAAGATGGAATGATTTTTACCAATGGTTTAACCAGTCCCCTAGGGCTGGGGATGGAGGTTGCTTCCCATCCTTCATTCTGATAAACATTGCTGTGCTGAGCATCCTTCTTCTTTGTGCTTGGGAGGAACCTGGTCCTCAGTGCAGTGTTCGAAGGTGGGCACAAGTGTGACTCTGTGTTATCCTACCAAACCGCACATCCCCTATTTCACTGAGCCTCAGCCCTCTTTTTCTCTCTTGCATGGCTGCAGGGAACCGACTGGACGAGGGCTCAGACGTGGAATCAGAGCCTGACCTCCCGCTGAAGCGCAAGCAGCGTCGCAGTCGGACCACGTTCACAGCTGAGCAGCTGGAGGAGCTGGAAAAGGCCTTCGAGAGGACCCACTACCCCGACATCTACACACGCGAGGAGTTGGCGCAGAGGACCAAGCTGACTGAGGCACGCGTCCAGGTGAGGAGACGCCTGGGGTGTTGGCTGGTATTCCAGAGAATAGGACTGAGCAGGTGGGGTGGGCAAGGTCCTAAGTTTACTGTTCATCCCATATGCAACAGGTGGGAAGGAGAAGATGAGATGGCCAAGAACCCACTGGGGTTCCAGGCTTGCTTGGGGAGAGGAAAGGGCCAATGGTCCCACCTCCCTGGGCTGAGCCCTCACAATCTGAGAGGCACAGTTGTTCTGCAGCTCAGAACACGTGGCAGACACATCTCAGGGCCTGCTGGAAAGGGGAGGCAGGGACAGCAGGACAGGTCATGATGCATGGCTCTCTTGAGAGCCTGTTCCTGGGCTGTCTTCTCCACAGACTGGGGAGGTAGGACTGTAAAGGGGCTACCCAAACTGCCTACCAGGGGCATTTCCACCGAAGGGGAGCTGACCTCCCTCAGCACCAACTTGCCATTAGCTACAGTGCTCGGGTGTCTCTCACCTGCTGGAAACTCTGACTTCCTCCTTGGATCAGTACAGACACTACCCCACCCCCAAGCCACAGGTGCAGAAACTGGGGCTCAGAGAAGCGACCTGCCTGGGGCACAGGGCTGGGCCTGGCTGAGCTGAAGTCCCTTCCATGCAGAAAGGAAGAAGCTGACTCAGAACCTGGAATTTGAAAGCAATAGGGAAAGTCCTAGAAGCAAACTGGTCTTAAGCCTTCCAGGAACCAGTGTGCCCTCCCACCCCCACTCTCAGACTGGGGGGCCCTTGGTTGCCTTTGAGGGAGACCCAAGGGGCAGGGAAGGAGGGCAGCAGCAGCAGCCAGCTCATGTCATTCCCGCCTCTCCTCTCCTTGCAAGGGTGACACCCGAGCCAACCCAGCCTACCCCTCCCCCCATCCCTGCAGCTGTTGTCCTGGGCACATTCTTCCCAGCTTTCTCATTCTCTCCCTGGCGGCCTGCTGCTTCCCACCACCTTGAAGCCTGGCCGCTCCTTGTAAAATTTCCTGGCTGTCAGGCCAGAGATTTTATTGGCCCAGGGGACCTGGGAACAGGTGTCACTCAAGGTCCAAGGAGGGAGGGGGTCTGGGAATGGAGGAGGCCAAGCCTAGATAAACCTACAGAGAGAGGCTTAGACCAACTCCTGTTCTGACTGACTCCTGTCATCCACACGGCTCCCCCAGGCACACACTGGGCCTCTGTCCTTGGACTGAGACACCCCACCCCGGGTAGAGCAGGGGCTCCTCCACTCCATCGCCTGAGAGCTTTCTTAGCAGAGGAGAGAGCCTAAATGTACACAGGTGAACATTATGTCCGAGGGGCGTAGAGAATCTATTAAGAGAATGTGGCCTGTTCCTGCCCTCTGACTCCTTCCTACCCTGCTCCCCACAGGATCAGAGCCTCCCCAAAGCCTGCTGGGTGTTACACAGTGCCGGCAATGCCCTACACAGCTAGCAGAAAGCCGGAACCCCGGGAAGGGCAGGACATAGGGTGTCTGGTAGGAGAACTATGGCTCCTTTGGAGCCAGCTGGTGGCCTGGCCCCAACCTTACTTACATCTTCCTTGAAAATGATCAGGACTAAGTGAATATTCAACTCCTTGTCCTGCTCATAGTGTTGGATGTTGAGAGTCAGATGAGAACGAATGATTGGGGTTGGGGGTGTAGCTCAGTGGCAGAGTACCTGCTCAATGGTACAAGGGCCTAGGTTCAATCCTCAGCACTGTATGCACACAGAATGTAATAATAAAACCTAGCCACTGGTTTCAAAGAGCTCAACCCTGACCAGGGATTCTGGGTGAGGTGTCAGGACTCTCACTGCCCCGTTGGAACTTCCATTTCCTGTCTGGAAATGGGCAGTTGCCCAGAGTGGGAAAGACCTTTCCATCTCAGCAGAATAACAGTTAAAGATGGCTTATGCTTTTCTAGCCCCTTGCCTGTGTTAACTCACCTGAGGTCCACCACTGCTTCAGAGGCCTCTTTTTCTCTGTTATTAGCAGACACCCACAGAGATAGTGGGTTGTCCCTATCTGAGCTAGGAGTTAGAGGCAAGCTTTGAACCCAGGCTCTTGACCATCATGCTACACTCTGTGAGCAGGGAAGGGCTTGGAGGCGTGGAGGCACCCTTGGGGAACAGAACCAGGAAGGAAGAAGACGTGAGAGAGTTGGTAGCAGGGGCAGGTCTTCTCCTCCAGGCAGCCTTTCTGTGTTCTGAAGGGCGAGGTTGGAAGCTTCTCCTCTGGCCTCCTTATGGTGCCTTGCGTGTTGCCTATCTGAGCTCACTGCACTGAAAAGCAGCCATTCCTTGGTTTGTCTGTACTGTGCCAGGCAGAGGCCACAGGACCAGGGCTGGGCCTTGTACATGTCTCCTCTCCAAAGCATCTTGCTCTGCACAAAGCAAAGTCCCTGTGAAGATACGGGATGAGAAGGAGGGAAGTAAAGAAGGAAGGAGGCGTGGGAAAAGAAAAGGGAGGTCAGAGAAGGGAAAGGAAGGGGGAAGATGCTTTCATCTTTGTTTAGCACCCTGAGGAAAAGGTGAGCCATACAGAAGGAACAGGGGCTCTACATCACAAACTAGAGCAGCGAACCCAGCCGTAACCATTCTCCCGCCAGCTCCAAGACTTTTGCTGTGTTCCCCGTATGAGCTATAGTATTGAATGAAATCAACATAGCATCTATCACTCCCATAAAGGGAAGCAATTGCTAAAAAATATATATATATATATCACATAGAAATTAAAAACTCATATATCATATAGAAAGAAAAAGCAAAGCATGGCTAAATTCTTGCAGGGCAGTGTCACCTGCAAAGTGTCCCCCCTCCCTTGCCCCCAGTGTTCCACAGGGACATTAGTGAGTATTAGCACCAAATGAGGCCTGCCCTTCCGCAAGCCCAGAAGCCTGGAGGAGATGGGGTAGAGCACGTCTCATTGCTGGGCCAGGTTTGGGTTATATAATATCCTTGTTGCTCACCACCTGACATGTGAGCTCTCACCTGGAGCAGAGGTCCCAGGTCCACCCTTTGGGAAGCACAACTCTGCCAGGAGTCTGGGAGCCTAAAGCCGATGCCCATGTCTGTCAGGGTGCAGAGCGGCTCAGCCTGGTGGGTGGGTCCCTCCCAGCCCAGGATGCCACCAGGGATGCCCTGGGGAGGTGGGGAGAAGCTGGTGCTTTGATTTTATTTGGGAGCCAGTTGGTTTCACTCCTAATTTGGCTGCTTTATTCAACCAGCTTGGAAAGCTGATCTGCTCCCCGCCACCAAGGACCACAAAAGATCAACACTGGGGGCTCACAAGCACCCTTCACCCAGCTGTGACTGTCCTCCCAAGTGCAGCAGACGTAGCCCTGAGGTTTTGGGGTCTTAGGTGACCTGTGCTGGGGAAGGTTGGAATCTTTGCCCCATCGGGAGGGACTCCAGTGGAGCCTTGCGGCCCCAGCTTCAGCAAAGACACATAAAAGTTTCCCAGCCTTCCTGTTCCTTCATTCACTCATTCATTCACTCATCACTCCTTCCTTCATTCACTCATTCATTCACTCATCACTCATTCCTTCATTGCAGGGCAGTGTCACCTGCAAAGTGTCCCCCCTCCCTTGCCCCCAGTGTTCCACAGGGACATTAGTGAGTATTAGCACCAAATGAGGCCTGCCTCATGATCCCATGGGTCCCAGAGCATGAGAGGAGCCAGGAAGCAGATGAATGGAGTGCCGGCTCACGTGGGGGAAGCACCACGCAAGAGGTCTCCTGGGAGAAGGCAGGGAGCCCACCTGCACCATCTCAGATGCAACACTGAGGACCTCGGACTAGGAAGGGTCTTTCTGTTCAGGAGAGAAGGAATGTCATGTGCGAAGCCCAGAGGTGGAAGAGACGCCCCCTCAGTGCAGCCCGTTCCACACCCTCATTCTCCTCCAGCAGGTCCCAGGAAACTTGCACACCTGGATGAGCAGGCCCTAGAAAGACAGACTGACTTACTTTGAACCTCAGATCCACCACAGCTAGCTCTATAGCCTTGGGCAAGCCATTTGACCTCTGGATTTCCCCTTCTGTAGAGTGGGGATAGGGGAACATGTCTCAGGGGTGCCTGTGCATGCAGACATGAGAACACAAGCACAGAGCTTGGAGGAAGGAGAGACTTAAGGATGCTGTATTATTTTTCCTAATGTTTAATAATTCCCGCGTGTTTCCTCTTTCCATGGGGCTCAGGCTGTGTAAGCAAGGCAGGTCAAAGTACTAAACTGAAAAGCTGGTCCGGGAGGCCAGTTTCATTCAGGAGGTTCCAGATGTGAGACCTCCTGGGGGAGGGCTTCCTGGAGGAGGTGGGGAGAAAGTGGGTGGTAGCAAGGATGGTCAGGCAGGGTACTGGCAACCCTGGGGCTGGAGCTGTTGCAGTAGGAGGAGCACTGGATTTAGAGTCAAACAGATTTATGTGGGCCTTGACTCCTTGCCCTGTGGCCAAGTTGTCCACCTTCTCTGGGTCTCAGTTTCCCCATCTGTAAAATGGAGGTAGTGATGAGAACCCCTCCTGGGTGAAGGTGGGGACCGAGAGGATCGTGCATAGGAAATCACTCTGCAGACTGTCCTGGGCTGCACAAGGATGGGATCTCCTTCCATGGAGGAGGATTCTGACTGGCTGGGAGGTTGATGGCGAGGGCGCTGATTCTAGCTGTGTTTCAGCTCTTGGCCAGAAGCCAGGCCTAGGCCAGGGCTCTCCATTCTCCATTCTTCATCCCCCCAGGTATGGTTCAGTAACCGCCGTGCCCGTTGGCGTAAGCAAGCAGGAGCCAACCAGCTGGCTGCATTCAACCACCTTCTACCAGGAGGCTTTCCTCCCACTGGCATGCCCCCGCTGCCCCCGTACCAGCTGCCGGATTCCACCTACCCCACCACCACCATCTCCCAGGGTGAGTGTCCAGTCTGTCCCCCCGCTCCCACTCATCCCTTCCTTTCTTATGATTGTTTGCCCACTTTCCTGTGGGCAGACGGTTAAGATAAAGATACTGTCCTGTGCTCCTGACCTTGAAAGAGGCCACAGAGCACCCAGGTGGGGCAGGCACCTTCTGTGTACCAATTTAGAACCAAATTTTTCAAACTATAGAGAACACAGGACCTCCTAGGGGTCTTACTGCAATGGCAGGGTGGGGTGGGGCCAGGGGTGCTGCATTTCTGACAGTCTCCCTGGTGACAGCCAAACTGTTGGCCACACCGAACATCAAGGATCCAGTCATCCAAAGTCCAAGACTTTGGGACTAAGTATAGCTGTAGTCTTTGATTTTTGGAAAGTGTGTGTGTTGGGAGAATATTGGGATACTTTTTTTTTTTTTTTAAGATTTTATTGGCCTCCAAACTATGCCAAATAAGAATTTACAAAGGGTCTTAAATTATTTTCTGGGACCCCATTTTCTTCCACCTCTCTCAAAAAAAGGCATCTTTAGAGGTGGAGTAAAGTCAAGGTCCTCCTTTGAGGGCCTCTTGCTCAGGGAAAGAGTCAGGTTCCTCCTCTCCTCCTCCCGCCCCCCACCAGGCTGCACAGAGTGGAGTGCAGTACTAAATTGAACTAAATTGAAAAGCCGGTCTGGGAGGCCAGTCTCATTCAGGAGGTTCCAGATGTGAGACCTCCAGGGGGAGGGCTTCCTGGAGGTGGGGAGAAAAAGGGTGGTAGCAAGGATGGTCAGGCAGGGTACTGGCAACCCTGGGGCTCTCCCTGCCATCTCAGGGAAGGAGGCATCCCTGGGGCCAGGGCTCAGTTTCCCCTGTGGCTTCAAGTATAAGATTCCATGCATCCTTAGCAAGGGTGCAGAGGGAAGAGGATGGGAGGTCCAAGGGGCCTTGGGAGTGATCCCAGAAGATATGACCATGTAAGGGGAGAAGGTTTCCCTTCCCAGCCTTCTGGCCCCTGCCTTATTCTGCACATACCGGGAGTTCCACTCTGAGAGCTGCCTCATGGGGCTTGCTTTCCAACGACAGGAAGATTGGCGTTCTGGAGGCAAGGAGAGAGTCAGGGACTCCCACTCACGAGTCTCATTGAGAAATGAAGCAAATGTTAGGGAAGATGGGGTCCCAACCCTGGAAGGCCATGGAGAGTGGGCCTGACAGAGCAGATCAACAGCCTGGTAGCTAGGAACAGAAATGGCTCAAGTTAGGTCATTCAGGGCCTAGTCCTCACCACTCACTGGCCTCGCGTCTTGCAGGAGTACTCCATCTTCCTGAGCCTCAGTTTTTCCATCCATAAAATGCCCTTAGACAGCATTTGTAGCACCTGGTAAGTGATCGATGCTCACAAATTCTAACAGGATAAGTCTAGGTGTATTAGAGTTTCCAGTGAGCTGTGACTTTCAGTCCAGCTAACATTAATCGACCACCTGCTATATGCCTAGCACCAAGCAGCAAGACCCAGGTGCAGTTGTCTAAAGGTTGTCTGGATATCAGTTGGGTGTCAGCCAAGACCTGGACCAGCTTGTCCCATCCTGAGTCACCTGAAAAGGTGGTCCTTTCCCTCCCAGGGACAAGACCGGTGGAGGAGGCACATGGCTGCCTCCTGCCCCCAGAGGTTCTTTCCTACCATCTGAGGCCAGGCTGAAGCCTCTAGAGTGCTCAGGACCTTTCGTGGGTCTCTCCACAGATGGGGGCAGCACTGTGCACCGGCCACAGCCCCTTCCACCGTCCACCATGCACCAGGGTGGACTGGCTGCGGCTGCTGCAGCTGCCGACACCAGCTCTGCGTATGGAGCCCGTCACAGCTTCTCCAGCTACTCCGACAGCTTCATGAATCCGGGGGCTCCCTCCAACCACATGAACCCAGTCAGCAATGGCCTGTCTCCTCAGGTAGGTGGCCTCCTGGCTCTGCCCAGGGTCCTCTGGCCAGACACTTGCTGACCTAATCAGTGGGTTCTGGGTGTGACCCTAGGTTGGCTCTGTCATGGGGAAAACAGGTGCCACGTAGGATTTACTCGTCTCCATGAAGCCACTGCTGTTGAGGACCTTGAGAGGCTTAAGTGGGAACAGGGTGCTCCTGCCTTCACTTGTCAACGTGTCTGTGTTAGTGGCCCTGGGTTGAACTTCCTCAAGCTGCAGACCCAGAGATGGAGAATGGGTTTCCATTTTTTTGCTCACTCTTGGCCTGGAAGCCACCAGAGCTTAATAAGCTGATCCTATCCATCTCACAGTGCTTAGTTCGTGAACGTCAGGTGGGAGAAGCCTTGCACCATTTCCTGTGAGAGCCTGGCTGCTCTCGGGTTTCATTCTAGAACCAGGAGTCCTTCCTGTTCTGTCCTGTTCTCCATCTCCTGCCTTTCCTAGGAGAATCCCATGAGTCGGGGGCAGGACCCTGTCCTACTGCAGATGAGGTTCTAGACTAGGAACTCCACTCTGATTGGGTCTTGAGAACTCGGTCACTTGCATGTGATTGGTTGCTGGTTAAGTCATTCAGTGCCTGATGGTATTATTAGAAGTCATGGAAGGTTCTGGATGAACAGGTTTGGAAGATAATACTGGGCTTTTGATGATTATTGGTGGCTTTGGTGATGCTAGAAGTCCCAGTGAACTTGAAGAACTGATAAGTTCGTTTTTGTAGCAACAACAGCTCCCAAAACCCCCGGGGCGGGGGGTGGGGGTGGGGAGAGGAAGGGTCAAAGCTGAGGCTGGTTTTATCCCCTCTCCCACATGCTGAGCAACCCTTTCCTCATGTCTGAAAGGATCTGCTTGCCACTGGACGCAAATGGACCTGAGCAGCTGTGGTACAGTGGAAAAGGTCAGGTGGTTAAAGCCCCACTCTGTTTCTCAGGGTGATCTGGGGGCCAGTGTACATCTGTGAGCCTCGGGTTGTCCCCATTAACAGGGACAACCCCCTAGCACGGTGTGCTTGCTGCATTCAATATGCTAGCAAACCAAAAGTACTCAGCACGGAGCCTGGCACAAAATAGGGGCTGAGTAAATAGTTCTCTTGCCCTCCTATTGCCTGGAGGAATAGATAACACGGGAAACCTGTTATCTGTAGGGGAGGAAATGTCAAAAGGGCTCAGGAAACTCCATCCTATAGGCTACTCCATCCAGCTACCTGTTTGTGTCAGTAAAGATTTCTTGGCACACACCCTTGTCCATTGCTTTCCAGCTGCTAACAACACCAGAGTTTCAAAGACACCATAGGGCCTGCAAAGCCTACCACACTATCTGACCTGTACAGGAAAAAATGCGAAGCCCTGGTCTAAAACAGTCCCCCAAATGCTGATTTCCTCCTTGTCTGATCCTTTCTTGTTCTGATGGTTAATTGCAGCTTAGCTCTATGGTTTACCTATGTGGAAGACCTAAAGCAGGGTCCTTCCCCTCTCTGTGCCTCGATTTTCTCAGCTATGAAATGGGAATAGTGTTTGTCCCCACCCTCTGGGAAAGTTGAGGGTTGAATGAGATGACCTACTCACATAGCTCAGGGCTGGCACGGAGTCACCCCTGGGAAAATGAATGCAGCAGCCATAGACCGAGCTGCTGGTGGTGATGCCCTCTTGGGGTCCACACAGAGGGGTGATTCCTCTGATTGGCTGAACTTGTCAGCCCATCAGGCGCTGGTCCTGATGGGGCTCTCCACTTTCTTATTTGTATTTGTATTGTATTGCAACACAGCCTGTGGACCACAGTGTTTCCCCAGTGGAGCTAACTGGGGCTGGCCAATTTGGGGTTCAAGGTCATGACCTCTGTCACATGAGTGCAAAGGCTAACTGGCCAGGCCAACCTTTCAGAGCTGGAGCAGAAGACAGACACAATGGGGTCCTAGAGCCTGCTGGTTGAGGATGCTGCAGACACCCCAGGTGTCCATACCCCATTATGGGATCCAGACGTGGGTCTGTGGTGCAAATCAAGTTTGGAGGGGCCTCCTGAAAGCTGAGAGGGGACGCTGAGGTTATGTGGAGCAGCTTCTGACTTCAAGATGGATGGCTGGGCAGGGCCGAGGGTCAAGGGCTGCCGAGTCCCTAATCACTGCTTTCCCAGAGCAGGACATTTGTCACACAGCAGAGGAGAGACTAGCAGATGAGCTGTCCCTGGCCTCTGGAGTAGGGTTCAGGGGTGGGGTTACAGGTGAGGAGGGAGGGAAGAGGGAGAAACCAGCAACTGGTGCGAATAGCCAGATCAGGGGGAACCTCTCCCCTTGCCATCAGAAGCCTTGGGAGCTGACTGTTGTGTTTTCTGCCTGGAAGTTCCTGACTTGAGCTCTCATCCCTCTGCCCAGTGAGAGACTCAACCTTAAAGCAGGAGAGCCTGGGAGGCTTCCCGTCTGCTGGGTCCATCCGTCCTTAAGGCTGAGAGGCTACAAGGGCGTGATGGATTGGGTGGACCTCCGGGGCCTGACGGCAGGTTCCCACCAAAGGTGTGAAGACAGATGAAGGGTCTGACAGGGGCAGAGGGGAGTAGGAGGTGAACAGCTGCAGGGGGGAGGGGCGGTACTCAGAGCAACTGCAGAGTGAGTGTGTGGACACGGGTTCTCCCAGCTCATCCTGACTAGGCATGTGAGGGGTGAACAGAGGTCTGATCTCGGACAAAAGGCCCAGCATTTCAAAGTCCCTGCTCTGGGAGCATTCCCTCCTGTCTGAACAGGCAGAGGTGACTTCTCCACCCATCTCTGGGGTTTCAGGAGGGATTGGGCTAGGTTTTCCCCCAGGTAGGGGTCTGTGTGGGAAGATGTTGGCTCCCCACCAGGAGGGTCTTCTTAGCAGCTCACCTGGGCAAAGGAGGGCAGGGTGGGCTTGCCTCCTGTGCTGGAGGGTCCCATAGTGTCACTGTTGTTATTCAGGATTGCACATCTCGCCTTGTCACCCAGATAGCTTTGTCCTTTGAAACCATTCTTGGAGCCTCTGGTCAGGCTGGGCACAGGCTAGCTCATCACACTGGTGGCCTGCTGCTCCCTGGAGAGAAGACATGCCACTCCCATGTGTCACCCTGGGTCCCTAATCTCTACCTAGCCTGGGAAGTGTGTGCTGTGGAGCCCCAGAGATCTGGAGCTATTGCTCCTCTCAGTTCTGCACCTGTGCCTGACTCTGAAGGGAGTAACTGAGAGGGCAAAGGTTGATGAGTGCCAACTCTGCGCCAGGCACTGTTCCTGGCACTTGGGACAAATGGGTGAACACAGGGAGGAAGATCTTGCCCTGTGGAGTGGCTAATATAGCAGGATGACACTGACCGAGTAAAGATCAGGTCATGCAGAGACCAGGTGACCAGGACAGCTACTGTCTAGAGTGATGCTCAAACCCTGTTCAGACTTCAGATATATTTTAACCAAAGGCGAGGGGGAGTCAGAATTTGCACTCACAGCTCTAGAGCCTGGGAGCTTAACCACTCATTCTGTGAGGAGATCTCTCAGAGATCCCCCAGCCTGCTCAGCTAGGTGGAGGGAAGGGCTCACAAAACCTAGCGATGTATAGGAAAACTGAGGGTGAGGACCTTGGGTTAGGGGGCAGGGGCAGATCTGAGTCAGGTGGACAGACACCTTCCCCAAGCATTAGGTGGCATTGATGCTTGGCTCCCTCATAGTCCCTGCCTCAAACCCCATCTTTATAGGATTAGGTACTAAGTACTTGGCCCAGGATGTCTCTGGGTTTGTGCCCCAGATCCTTCTGAAAAGGTGTAGAGAAAAGGAGCCCTGCCCATGGGACTTCATTCTGACAACTCATCTGGAGCCTCTCTTCCCCTCCCTGTGCTCCAGGCTGAGGGTCAGTTACTTGGAAAAAAAAATGACTCTTAAAAATCAACTTAGAAGACTGGACATGGTGGTGCATTCCTGTAATCCCAGCTGCCCCAGAGATCGGGAGGATGACAGTTTGAGGACAGCCTGGGCAAAAAGTTAGTGACATCCCATCTCCACAAACAAGACAGCCATGGTGGTTCACACCTGTAATCCCAGCTATGAGAAGGCATTGATAGGAGGATCATGTCCCAGGCAGGTTCTGGTCAAAAATGTAAAACCTTATCCAAAAAATAGGGCTACCATTCTCCTGCCTCACAAGCTTGAAGCCCTGAGTTCAGACTTCGGTACCACTAAAAAATAAACAACTCAGAGTAGTTTGAGAAAAAGATGCCTTTGCAACATGAATCCTTTGAGTCCTTCAATGCTGACCAATGGATGGCTTCACAGTGGCCCTGTCTAGGAATGGCAAGCAGGACACACAGAGACAGGAAAGAGAACACCAGGCCTGCCGGAGGGATCCCAGTCAGATGGCAGAGACTGGGCCCTTGTCCTCAGGTGTCCAGTTCAATGTGGAACACAGCCCTCTCTTGCAGAGGCCCAAGGCTGATGGGGGCAGCAGATGTCAGAAAGTCCCTTGGAGCTGTAGCTTTTCTTCATCTAGAGCCCAAGCAAAGCCTCGGAGATACGATTCTGCCATTTCGAGAGTCCTGAGGACTGGAGGCCACAGGCAGGGGCTCCTCGGAGGCTGTGGCTAAAGCCTCCTCCTCCCCAACCTTTTTAGATGTGTCAGAGTTGGAAGTGGAAGCTGAGGCCTGGACAGGGCCTCAAAGATATGGACAGATATGGACAGTTCACCATAATTTGTCCAAAGACACCCTGCTGGGCTCCAAACTCTCAGTCAGGGTCCCTGCCACTGCATCCCAAGAGGGCGCACTTCTGAGACTACCATCACTGCTGGTGCTCCTCATCACGCCCCACACCCATCATCATCTTCTTTGTCCCTCTCTGGAGCTTAAAATGAAGGAGCTATAAAGGGATATACATAGCCACAGTTTCCAGCCATACTGAACTAATGAAAACTTCTGTAAGTGCGCCTCTAATGGCGCTACCGTGATCTCAGTGAGCCAAGCCTTTCTTTCCCTCCTTTCTCTCC